CCTCCTCCACAGCTGCCGCTGTTCTCAGCAGTCACCCCACTATCCACACCCCTCCTCCACAGTTGCCGCTGTCCTCCTCAGTCACCCCACTATCCACACCCCTCCTCCACAGTTGCCGCTGTCCTCCGCAGTCACCCCACTATCCTGGCTTCCCCAGTATGCCGAGGCTGAATCCTCACCAGTGGTTTTCCCTGGACTCTCTTCTGGGAGGGACTCCAGCCCTGCTACATAGGGCCAGTCTCCAGCTGCTCTCCATGACCCCGGTGTGCCTGCAAAACCAGTGCCACCTGGCTGACCCTTCCACATTCGCTACCAAGTTCAGCTGCCAACGTGAGATGCTAAAATAAAATATACTAGGAAGTCATACAGTCTGGATCTGGAGTTGCTTTAGCTGTCTTACTTTCCTTCCCTTTCAAACCTGCTTCATTCCTTCATCTGTAAAACCAGTCCGATTAGTTAGTTAATCTATAATTTTCTTTCCCAAGTCTCTGGCTGCTCGGAAATCTTATCACTGAAATATTTGGTGTCGCTCTTTTAAACTCTAGTAACTGGACTTGATTTGTTACTTAATTTCTCTGTATTTGTGTGTGAATGCCTTTCTCATTTCCTCCTGCAGTGCACGTTCTCTGGTGGAGCCCGAACGCAGACAGTCGCGCAGCCGGGCGACACCTGGCTCATGACGATCCCAAGGTCGTGTCTGCTGGTGAGCTGGCTCATTGGGCAGGAATTGTTTTTTAGAACATAAGTCAGTTTATAACTTTTGATGTCATGTGCACTGTCTTTCCAGTTCGGGAAAGTGTCAACTACTTAGATATTCAGCAGAATATCTTCCTAATTCCTGAGCCGTTTTCACCATTGAAATAGTTTCCTACCAACGGTTCCCGTAACTGCTGTAGGCTGTGTCGGCAGACGGTGCTTCAAAACTCTCAAAAGAATTATTTCTACTTTTTAGTTCAATGAAGAGGTAAGTTGTTCCTATGTCCCTTGTATTTTTTAGGCCCATCTAGGTCCCTTTTGCAAAACCCATCTCTATATGGGAAATAGAATTCATTTTCCCCATGCCACTTCATTATCATACACTAAAAATAGTTAATTTAAAAATAATGTTATTTGGTCCCAGTAAAATCCTTGTAGACTCTTTGGTTTATAAGCTGAAATGCCTTATTATTAATTTTTACTAATATTTACCTCATCAGATGTTTCTTAGCAAAGATACTTGGTCACTATATCAAGATCTTTGTTCTTCATTTCTTTCAGAATAGCTCTTCTGTAGAACAGTCTTGGTTCAAATGAGATCACACTTCCAAGCTTGGGACCAAATTTTCAAATTATTAATAAATATGTGAAACGTTTAAATTTTGTCTGATTGTCTGAGATGTTTTGCTTCAGCAGCTTATTTTATAATATAAAATGGGATTCATGGGCTGGAGAGATGGCTCAGAGGTTGAGAGTACGGACTGCTCTTCCAGAGGTCCTGAGTTCAATTCCCAGCAACCACATGGTGGCTCACAGCCATCTATAATGAGATCTGGTGCCCTCTTCTGGCCTGCAAGCATACATGGCAGGAATGTTGTGTACATAATAAATAAATAAATCTTAAAAGAGAGAGAGAGAGAGAGAAAGAGAGAGAGAGAGAGAGAGAGAGAGAGAGAAAGAGAGAGAGAGAGAGGAGAAGGGACAGTCATGGGTGACTGTATACAGCTATCATCAAGGAATGGAAAAGTGTGGTGAAGCTCAGCTCTTTCACCTGAAAAGGTCATTGTGTAGTTTGCTAAGGCTGCCCTAACAATGTACCACAGATTGGCTGGAGTGTGTAGCTCAGTGGGATTCATGTAAATATTAAATTTCTTTCACATGAAAAACTGTATAATCATCTGTTGTCTGTATTGTCAGTCACTCGCTTAGAAAATACTAGATCAGCATACTGAAAGTCTTGATGACCCTAGTTTATATGTTGAAATGTTATTTATAATTAATTTGACTAACACTTATTTCATTTTTATCTTATTTAACAAAGGTGCTTGAGGTATCTTAAGAAGTCATTATAGACATGGAAGCATTTGCCCTAATAAAAAAAAATTACCTCTATATTCTGATACTTTTTACTAGGTTTTATATTTTTATCATCCTCTTTAAAATTGATGTCATGCAAAAAAAGGAATACTTTTTTGTCCTTATTGTAAATGTGCCTACATTAAGTAAACATCATACTATTTGTCACAGTTTGGATACAGAATAGCACCCCTCCGGCAGTCTTATCAGTGGAAGCCTTGGTCAACAAGTAATAGAGTATTGGGAGGTGGTAAAAAGCTTAAGAGGTTGGACCTAGAAGGAAGAAAGTACATCTCTGATCTTGAGCCCTTGAAAGGTACATATGAGCCCTTCCACTGTCTCTGTTTCCTGGTTGCCACAAGGTGAACAGCTTTCTTCCAGCATAAAGTACTACCTCGAAGTAGTCTAAACAACAACCATGTTCAGCAACCATACCATAAAGCCAAATAAAATTTTCTTCTTCTAACATTATTGTTCCCAGGCATTTTGTCACAGCGAGGCCTTCCCTGTTCCATGAAAAGTGTAGGATCATTTCATCCCAACTACAAATGTGCTTATCCCTCACCATTTGGAAAAGACTGATGTGAGTCTCACTTTTGGACATAGCAGTCCACCCCACTGGACAGAGAGGACAGGCAGTATCTTACCTTGGTTTTCTGTTGTACTATCAAGTATCTGCAGGGTTCTCTGTACCCTGGTCCCCATTTGGAAGAGGTCCGTGACGGTCTGGGGAACTAAGGTTGTGGTAAGCTTCTCTTCTCCAATCATTCAGGTCTTGTGTCTGCAAAAGAAAGACACAGTAGCATCACCTAGGAGGGCCTGGGTGGTCTGGATGCATTAGGAGCATAGGATGATCTGGGAAAGGTGAACACAGTCTCATTTGCTTATCTTTGTTTTGGTCTTCAGGTTTATTTGTATATTTGTTTGTTTTGAAAAGGGATCTCATTGTGCGGCCTAAACTAGTATGGAACTCACTGTGTAGCTAATGACTTCCTCGAGGTCCTAACCTCCCGTCCCCACTTCTGTGCATGCTAGTTTTATGTCAGTTTGCACAACCCACAGTTATCTGAGAGGAGGGAATGTTATTTGAAAAAATACTTTCATAAGATCTGACTGTAAGTGAGTCTGTAGGGCATTTTCTCAATTAGTGACTCGTGTGAGAGGGCCCAGTTCATTGTGGGTGGTGCCACCCCTGGGCTGGAGGTTCTTGGTTTTATAAGAAAGCAGACTGAGAAAGCCTTGGGTGTCAAACCAGTAAACAGCATCTGTCCATGGTCTCTGCATCAGCTCCTGTCTCCAGGTTCTTATCCCAGTTGAGTTCTTGTCCTGATTTCCTTATGTGATGGGCTATGATGTGAAGCATAAGCCAAATAAAACCCTGTCTTCCCCACATTGCTTTTGGTGATGTATTTCATCACAGTGATAGTCACTCTAACTAGGACAGCTTCCTAACTGTTGAGCAACAGGCCTCTACCACCATAGAGGCAGAGCCAGGTGAATCTCTGCGAGTTTGAGGCCAGCCTACAGAACAAGTTTCAAGACAACCAAGGCTCCACAAAGAAACCCTGCCTCAAAAAAAAAAAAAGAGCAGTTAAGTCTCTGAAGATTAAACTCGCTTCCATCTAATCAAAACCAGCCTCTGAGATACAAAAAATATTCATTGATCTATGTGCAGATACTACATCTTGAAAGGCATGGTTAGCAGGACAGAGTACCTGCTTTCATGTAGTCTGTATTCCTGGAGAATTATCTAAGACATACAAGTTGAACAGCATAAACTTGGCTAAAAATACAGCACAATGGGAGGGCAGTGAGCGGGGTGACAAAAGTCCAGTTTAGCTAGCGGTGTTAGCTCTGAGATGATTATCACTCCAAAGTCTAAAAAATAAGAACCATCAAGAAAACTTAGAAAGAATACTACAAGGTGCCAGGATGTGTACAGACTGAAGTTCTCAGAAGAAATGAGTTTAAATGCTCAACAACCAACAGGAAGGCAACAGGCAAGAATGTAGTGAGCTAAGAGAAAGAACGAAGTGAAGAAAGAGCAGTAGGAGCCAGTTCACATAGCTCCAGCAAGGAGTTTGCTCAGTGTGCTGAAAATTTCTGTGTTGAGGAGCAAAACATACATGTTGTGTGTGTGTGTGTGTGTGTGTGTGTGTGTGTGTGTGTGTGTGTGAGAAAGAGAGAGAGAGAGAGAGAGAGAGAGAGAGAGAGAGAGAGAGAGAGTGTGTAATGCCAGTGGAGGCCAAAAGAAGGTGCTCAGTCTCTGAGAGCTGAAGGCGAATGGCAAAACATGTTTTATTTTTTGGGGTGTGTGTGTGTGTGTGTGTGTGTGTGTGTGTGTGTGTGTGTTAAGAGCCAGTGGTGGCCAAAGAAACTACTGGGTCTCTGAGAACTGGAGGTGAGTAGCAAAACATATGGTGTGTGTGTGTGTGTGTGTGTGTGTGTGTGTGTGTGTGTGTGTGTATGTGTGTGAAGTGCCACAGTGGCTGCCGAAAGAGGGTGCTGGGTCTCTGAGAGGTGGAGGTACAGGTGGCTGTGAGCACCCTGATATGGATACTGGGAACTGAAACTTGGTCCCCTGTAAGAACAGTATGTGCTCTTAACAACTGAGCCATTTCTCCAGCCCCTAAATCTTAATTTTCTAAAGAAATAAGCATCTGTAATGACTTCTTTTTTTCCTGAGGATGTTAGGTCCTCTGTCTGCTCCTTCAGATTCTCTTCCAGTTACTGCATTAGCTTTTTCAAACGGAAGTGATTCAAAGGACAACAATGCTGACAAATGCAGTGCAGAGATGCTAATCCAAGGACTTCAGAGAGCAGACAGTGACCCCATGTCAGAGTGACTCAGGATGCTCGGTCCTGACATGCACTGCCTTGCCCACTAAGAACGACCATACCAGGCCGTGAATCCAGCTTAGCATAGAAGAGTGGTTCTGGGAGTTCACCACCCCTTTGGGGGTCAAGTGACCTTTCCACAGGGGTCACATATCAGATACCCTGCCTATCAGATATTTACATTAAGATTCATAACAGTAGCAACATACAGTTATGAAGTAGCAACGCAGGCAATTTTATGGTTGGTAATTACCACAACATGAGGAACTGTATTAAAGAGTCAAAGCATTAGGAAGATTGAGAACCATCGGCATAGAGCAAGGCTGGGAGAATAAAGCCTGGGCCAGAAGTCAAAAGATCTGAATCTTGGTTCTGACCACTACTGTATCCATGTGACATCACTTACTGCTTTAGCCTTGGTTCCTTTATTTGTAATATTGAGAAGATTACATTGAGAATACGTACAGATTCTATGCTCCTGGGGACCACCTCCCCAGCAATGGCTACAAGCAAAGACTACAGCAGCCACTGTCTCCCATGGACAGTTCAGAAAGCATGATTATCTAAATCCTACTTGAAACTCCTCAAACTCTACCTCCTCTCAAAATAATGATGACTACATACTTTACAAGCAAACCCAAAGCCTTTCCATATGTTGCTGACATGTCCCTTTGTTTGGCATGGATGTTTGATGCCTGTAGTTCTATTATTCTATAGTATCAGTGTAGAAACTTATCAAGTGAATATAGTCACATGCCATATATTGTTTTGATTAGTTGTGGACTGCAGAGAACACGGGAATCCAATAAACTACACGGTCTAATGAAATAGTGATTTTGGTTTGTAAGTACATTCTATGATCATGCAAGTATAAAAATCTTAACAATGCATTTCTTAGAATGTCATCATTAAATGATACATAGTTGTGATTCTGTAGAAAAATAAGGCCATGAAATTGTCTCATTGTATTAGTACTATCTCCTTAAGTGACAGTATCATCTTCACCAATCAACAATTAAGCTGAAAACCAGAGAAACAAAGTAACTAGTAACTTATAAAGTCACACAACTACTAGGTTTCAAAACCAGAATTCAAACCCAGAAATGCATGCTCTAAAACCATGTTCTTCAGATTCCTCATACATTCATTGGGGATAACTCTCTGTAAACTTTAACTTTCTGAATTTTAGAGGACAAAATAATATTCTCCCTTCTATTCAAGTGAGTTAGCAAGCAAAACCTGACTTGTGGGCAGTAATATAATGGATGAGTCTGTTTCTGCTGGAAGAGTATTTTCTAATCTCTCTGACTATCTTGGCTTACCAATTTGAGTTAAACTTCAACTTAGGAAAAAGAAATCAATTCCCCAGTACGTTCACATGCCAAGTGTATCTGGCATAACGTCTCTCATCTTGTGAAAGTTTGAAGAGAAGGCACAATTCAGCGTCACTCCGCATTCTAAACACTTGTCTTTATTCTTGTAATAACCCTGTATCATAGACCACACAAGCTATTGCTGTGTGAGTTTCCCCACGCAACACGACCCTGTGCCCTTCTGACCCACTGATGCGTCTCTCTGGGGATTATACAAGAAGTCAACACTGAAGGCCATTGTTATCGTGTTTCTGTCATCACGATGTTTCTCCTTCCAGCATCTCCAGGAAGTCTTCAAGTCAAAAAGAAAAAACAAACCAAAGAATGACTGAAAACTGAACAAATGTCACCTTAAAAAATAAAAATGACACAGCTTATAAAATCCTGAAAAATGGTCAATTCACAAGAAATCAAAGAGACAGAATTTAAATGGAGACACTTTAACTTGATAAATTAAGACAAAAGATAAAACCATATAGTAGAAAAATTGGTGGGAACAGCATTCACCTCCTGTAGGATGAGTGGATAATAGAGAAAAGAAGTATCCAATGAATTTGGCTCAGCAATTTGTGGTGTATAAAAAGGGATTTAAATTATTATTCAGTGAACATTATAAAATATATGGCAATGTTTCATAGAAAAGGAATAAAGTTTTAAAAACTCACTGAAAGAGCAGACAGAAGTGAGTGGACCAGCCCTAACTTACTTAATCTGTTGTCTTTGGAGAGCTTCTTTGAATGTCTTGGTTTGTTTTTTACAGTATAAAATGGTACTCCAACTTCTCCATGCAAAATTAGAGTAGAGAAAATGGATAAAGCAGAAAGTATCATAGACATTCTTGTTAGATCTCTATGGCTGAGACAAAATCAACAGTGTCAGGGAGGAAAGGTTTGTTTTACCTCGCAGCTTCAGGGGTCTCTCAGAGTCCGCAGTTGACTCCACTGGAATGGGCCAGTGACAAGGCAGCAAGAGGAGCATGTGACAAAAGAGACTGCTTATCTCATAGCAGCAGTGAGCAAAGAGAGAGAAGGGGCCGGGACAAGATGCCAAAGGTTCCGTTTCCTCCAGTCATGTTCTCACATAGCCCATCCATCAACGACTATTCCCTTAGTCAGAAAGAGCCCTCATGATCCAACCTGACCTAGACAATCCCCCACTGAGACACTCCCAGGTGACTCCAGATGGTATGAAACCAGTAGTATACCAGGCCTTCAGCACGGAAGCTGTTGTAATCTGGTTGTACCCAAATGGCTTGGCTGCCCTCACTCCCCCTGACTGACAGCTAAACTTCCTTGTACTCTGTAATCAACAAGAATGTTTGTGTTCTTTCTGGCGCGCGGTTTTTCACAGAAGCATTGCCAGTACACGATGCCCTGATCTTGACCTCTGGCTACTCAGCACTTCTCCGGCTATGCCTAAAGGTATAAAAGGCTTTAACTTGGGGCAAAATAAAGTTTGCTGCTCTTCCTCCTGCATAGAAGCTTCCTGTCTGATACCACGGCAAGTGGAGATCCCACTGAGATCTGGAAAATAGGGATATGTGAACGGGGTTGTTCCATACTCCGGCTAAATTGAGGAACGCATTGGGAAAGGTAACAAGTGCTTAAAATGGGGTCGTCTACAAGTAAGGTAGAAATGACAGAACAGATACTGGAACTCTTGAAACAGCAAGGCACAGAAGTTACAAGGAAGACAGCCTCTGATTTTGTCTGCACCATAGCAGACACCAGCCCCTGGTTTCTTGCAGGGGGAGGGTTAAATGTTCCTGACTGGGAACAAGTTAAGTCAGACTTACAAAGAGAGTTACAGAAACGGGGGCCAGAGCACTTGCCTGTGGCGACATTTCCCTTGTGGAGGCTGGTGAGGGATGCCCTGCTAACCGAGAAAGCAAAAGTGCAGGAACAGCTGAAGAAGGTTAGCCCAGCGTTTGCAGAGATGCAAGAGGAAGAAACTAGACGCTCAGTGGGCATAGAGGATAAGAACATGAGAGAGGTTATGGCTAGTCAGATTCCTAGTGAAGGAAGTACAGAGAGCAAAAGCTCAGGGGGAGAAGAATCTGAGGAAGAACAGCTAGAGAAAGAGATCGCAGAGCTGCAGCGCAGGTTGCATCGCTGCCGAGTCCACAGAAAACCTACCCAAGAATCAACTAAGGAGCGGGAGTTAGACCGAGAGTGGGCATGGCCCTCTGCACCTCCCGCCTATGAGGAAGGATGTGAGACATTGTATGAGGATGATGATATGCATTATCAATCCAAGGGAGTTATTTTTCAGCAACCACACATGCAGACCGGGCTTCAGGCTTACCCTGTCATTGAGACACCTGCTCCCAATAACCCAGGGCAGGTCATCCGACAGCATGCACCTCTGACTTTTAAGGAGATAAAGCAGTTGAAGGAGGCTGTTAGCTCTTATGGACCATTAGCCCCTTTTACTGTCTCCATGTTTGAATCCTATGGGTCCCTCAATTTAACACCTAGTGATTGGCAACAGCTCTGCCGTGCTGTGCTATCAGGTGGAGATTACTTGCTATGGAGGGGAGAGTATCAAGAGAAATGCATACAGACTGCCCGCCTTAACGCCCAGGCTGGTTTCCCTCAAAGAAATCTGGATATGTTGACTGGGGCTGGAGCTTATGCTGGCCTTGGGGTGCAAATGGGATATGATCCTGGGGTTTATGCGCAAATTGCAGCTGCTGCTGTCCAGGCCTGGAAGACATTACCTAATAAGGCAGCAGGAGATCAATTATCCCAGGTGTTGCAAGGACCCTCTGAGCCCTTTCAGGACTTTGCTTCCCGGTTATTACAACTAGCTGATAAACTTTTTGGAGACGCAGATCATGCAATGCCCTTCATAAGACAATTGGCATTTGAAAATGCAAATAAATATTGCAAGGAGGCTATACGGCCTCACAAGAATAAAAGTTTAAATGATTATATTCGCATTTGCAGAGACATTGATGGGGCATATCACTCTGGACAGGTTATGGCGGCTGCTCTCCGGAAAGGCCAGGGCCAGTCAGATGAAGGGGGAAGCAGAAACTGTTTTGGGTGTGGTCAGCCTGGACACTTCCGCAAGGATTGTCCCCATAACAATCAAGGAGGGGCCACTGTCTCAGGCCTGCGTCCAAGAGGCAGAAAGTGTTACCATTGGGGAAATGATTGCAGATACAAGACAGACATCAAGGGGAGACCTTTGCCACACGGATACTGGAAGCGGGCCTCACTCCGAGGCCCCAACCATGAAGACTACCGCAGGCAGTGGTCAGATTCAATTTGTCCTGCAAAGCAATCCCTTTCTGTTGTGGACCTCGCCCGAGGAACACCAGGGAGTGCAGGATTGGACCTCTGTGTCTCCGTCCAAACCGTCTTAATACCACAAATGGGGGTCCAAGTCTTGCCTACAGGAGTCTATGGGCCGTTGCCTGAGGGAACCATGGGACTCATTTTAGGCCGCAATAGAACACTTCTTAGAGGGATCCGCATTCTTCCGGATTTAATAGATGCAGACTATAAAGGGGAAATAAAAATCCTCACCACAGTGGAGCAGGGAATGCTAGTGGTTCCACAAGGGGACAGAATTGCTCAACTTGTCTTATTACCCCAGGTTTTGACAAATAATCCCTCTCTTAAAGAGCATAGGGGAACTCAAGACTTTGGCTCAAAAGGAACCTGTGCATTTTGGGTAGCTACCCTGCAAAACAGGCCACAGTTAAAACTTAACATTGAGGGGAAAACCTTTTTAGGCATCCTAGATACGGACGCGGATGTCTCAGTCCTGTCCTACGAATATTGGCCCAAGCATTGGGACCTGGAGGAAACCTTGGCTAGTCTTCAAGGCATAGGTCAAGCTTCCCCTCAAAAGAGTGCCAAGATACTAAAATGGCAGGATAACGAGGGGCATGAAGGTTTCTTTCAGCCTTTTATTTTACAGCAGCTCCCCACTAATCTATGGGGGAGGGATGTGGTACAGGAAATGGGGGCTGTGTTAACCACTCAACCAAGGAGCCAGGATACTGCATTAGTGACATCAATTGGATGGATCCCTGGCCAGGGATTAGGCCGTCGTCGTCAAGGCAGACCTCGAGCGCTCCAGGTTACAGACCAAGTAATTTGTATGCCGGGTGACCGGCGAGGTTTTGGACACTTTTAGTTAGGGCCATTGTTGAATGGCTCCAACCCATTCCCATTACTTGATATTCTGATCAGCCAGTATGGGTGGAACAATGGCCCCTTACTGAAGAAAAGTTTCAGGCCACTTGCTCTCTTATACAGGAACAACTTGCTGCCGGGCACATAGTCCCATCCACCTCGCCCTGGAATACCCCTATATTTGTAATTAAGAAGAAATCTGGGAAGTAGCGCTTGCTGCAGGACCTTAGGACTGTTAATGCTATTATACAGCCTATGGGATCTTTGCGGCCTGGATTGCCTAATCCAGTGGCCATCCCCTGGAATTGGAAACTATTAGTCATAGACTTAAAAGACTGTTTTTTCACCATTCCTTTACACCCTGATGGTTGTCATCACTTTACATTTAGTCTACCATCCACCAATTTTAAGGAGCCTGCACAGCGTTTTCATTGGGTTATCTTGCCCCAGGGCATGACCAACATCCCAACTATATGCCAAATGTATATGTCTCTTGCCCTAAAGCCTGTTAGGAGGCAATTTTCTCAGTTATATATTATACATTATATGGATGACATTATTATTGCCTTCTGCTAATTCAAAATTGCTTTTTGAAGCCTTTGCTGAATTACAAGGTAGTTTACAGTCGACAGGGCTGATGATTGCACCAGAAGAGGTACAGCAAATGGATCCATTTCAATATTTAGGACATGAGCTTAATTGGGGCAGAGTCAGGCCACTTAAGCTACAGTTTAGTCTCTCTTATTTGAAGACTTTGAATGATTGGCAGCTATTCCTTGGAGACATCAATTAGATATGACCCTCCTTGTCCTGACTACAGGCCAACTTAAACCCCTATTTGATATCTTACAAGGAGACCTGGATCCTTTGTCCCCTAGGGAACTTACCCCCACAGCCAAAGAAACTTTGAAATTAGTATCACAGGCTGTACAGGAGGTACATTTACAGTATCTAAATTATGATCAACCTTTTTCCTTCCTGGTTTTTCCTTCTCAGTTTTCCCCTACAGGAGTTTTGTTTGTTTGTTTGTTTGTTGTTTTTTGTTTTGTTTTGTTTTTTTGCAAGATGGTCCCTTATTTTGGGCCCATGGCTCAGCCTCCCCCAGTTGCACAGTGACACCATAATATGAGTTAATACTGCACCTCCTGTGGAAGGCCTAGAGACTTAGTATTCAAACATTTGGTTGGGAGCCTGATGTTATTGTTGTTCCTTATGAACAAAATAATCATGATATATGGACTCTGTTTTTGACTACCTCCTCTAGTCAGTTAGACAATCATTTTTATGATCAGGCTTTGCAACTTCATTGGAAGTTTCATTTAAATGCCTGTTCTTTACAATATCATACTGTCTGTTCTCGCGCTGTGGCCACAAAAATTACAACCCAGTGTTCTAGCTGTGCACCCTTTCATACTCACCCATCCTTTGGGGTTAACCCTAGAGGACTAATACCAAATGAGTTGTAGCAAATGGATGTTACTCATGTTCCCTCTTTTGGTCAACTTAAATTCATGCATGTATCAGTTGATACTTATTCGGGGGTCATATTTACCACCCTGCTTCGAGGGGTAAAACTTAAGGATGCAACAAGTCACTGTCTTCAAGCATTTGCTTATTTGGGAGTACCAAAGAGATTAAAAACAGATAATGGTCCTGCTTATATTAGCAGGGGTTTTCAACAATTTTGTGTGTCCTTCTCTATTCACCACACCAAAAGTGTTCCCAATATCCCACAAGGTCAAGCCATTGTGAAGCAAGCAAATGCTCGCTTAAACATTATATTGAAAAAAATAAAAGAGGGGTAATTTACATGACCAAACACTACAACATCCTATATTCTTTTTATATTGAATTTTTTGACTGTAGATGGTCAAGGTCAGTCAGCTATGAGTAGGCACTGGGCTGTGGGCCTTCTGTGGCGGGGAAAGTTTGCTGGAAAGATTTGGCAACAGGAAGATGGATGCACCCTGCTCCAGTGCTGGGCAGGGTCAGGGGGGCTGTTTGTGTTTTCCTTCCAGATGCAGAAGCTCCTCTCTGGATTCCAGAGAGATTCGTCCGACCTGTGGATGACCATGGCATGATGATGCTGATGATGACGTGGCCAGTGCTGAGTCAAGAG